CGTACGACGACACACACACACACACACACACACACACACACACACACACACACACACACACACACACACACACACACACACACACACACACATATTCATACACGCACGCGCGCGCGCACGCACGCACGTATATTATATATCTACTTACTGGAGCATTTGGATTTGGTTTAAAAGGCTCTGTTGTTCGCCCACCACTTCTTGAAGTTGTTGTCGTTCACTAAAATATTTATACAAAACAATATTATCTAATGTAATGTTTCAGGTATTTTATATGCGGTAGTAAGTATTTATATAGTACCAATATTTACAAATAATTTCGTACTATTACCTGAAAAATATAGGTTTTGATATAGTTTTATTTTTAAAATTCGCTAAAGCATGGTATCGCACAATGTTGGGACGCCTTGGATCTAAAATGTCTTTATAGAGGGCATGCAGCAGTTGCCGCGCTAAGGACGCGGAGCCTAGCGCAACCCCGCAGAACATACACGAGCAGTTGTTCTTGGCAGTCATCATGTTGAATCTGCTGTTGAGCGAGTTCGCTGTGTAACGTGGTCAGATTCGTTTGACTTTCCGCTATCTTCGTTCGCAGTGTTTTGTTCTCGTCTGTCAGCACGGAGGCCCTATTCTTTAACTCCAGCGTTTGTAGTTTCGCTTTATCTTTATCCGCATTCATCTTGGCTTCCGTCTAACGTGACGCAAAAATGGATAGACAGCAACATACGTATCAGAGCTTTTCGGTATTAAATACCTTTAGGAAAGTTCCCGTTTGCACGAGAAATATCGCCTATCTTTCAGACAAAGAGCAGCAGAGGCCAACCTCATGTTGATAACAGATATGTTAGAATTTGCTGATACACATCTTACTGTTACTGTAAAACCATACCTGTTGATAGCGTTTCAGCTTTAATTGCAGTTCTTTTATCTCTTGCTTCAGCTCTTCCTCTAGAAGAAACAGTTCTGTTTCCGCTCGCTTTTTTTCCTGAATAACGCCACCGCACAATAACTGAACGGTTCACCACGGACGCGCGCAACAAAGTTTACAGAATTATGTAGGCCTAACTATTGTAAAATAAAGAAAACTTCACAATAATGGCAGTTTTCACAATTACACATGAATACCTGTAATATATATATATATACTAGTAATAAAATCACAAGCGGTATTTTCGAGGCTATAAATAGCGCGAAAAGTTGCCCCTATAATTAGGTAGAAGAGCACGTTTCACGAAGAAACAGACAAAATGAGTGTAGGCTAAAACGTCGCACATATTCTGTAACAATTCGATTTAATTCTAGTTTATCTGATAACTTCTCCTTTTAATATTTAATTTTGTTTTCGTATGTCGGCAGCGAGATCTATCTCCCTACTTTGCGTCAGTGGGAAAACCGGAACGTTGGAAGTGTCCCCGTACGACTGACGAACGCGCACTGTACCAGCAACTGCTCCTCGATCCACGAACGAAGGTATGTACGCTGCACGCTACGTTTCTATTTATTTTTGTTGAATTCATGTTCATTTCTTTATTTATTAAAGTAAATATGCACGTATACATATCCACGCATGACAATCATTTCAAAATTCAACAAATTAGATAACTACCAAGAATAATTACACAAACTGTATGTAACACAA